GTATAGGCTTCTGCCGAACTTCTTTTACAGGATAAGACTTCAAGGTCAAAGGGAGCAATAATTGGAGGAGAAAAGGTGCTGGGAAGGATTTACACAGGGTCTATTACTGGAAGAAAAAAAAAATGGTGGGGCAAAGTGTGATAGGAATCAGGGTTGAAAGGGGAGAAATGGGGGAGCAGAGGGAGAATGGGGAAGCTATAGGGGAGGGAAGAGGAGAAAGTGGGGGCAAAGCTGAGAAGGCTATTGGGGAAGATAATTTAGAGAAAGGAGTGAGTATTGGTTGGTTGTTGGATAAACAGGTCGAGATTGGGAAATCATTGGGTCTATTTTTCATGGAGTGGAAGGAGTGGTGAGGAAAGCAATTGAACAGTTTGAGAGAAGGGGAAGGGAAGAACAGAATAGAAAGAAAGATATTGGGGAAGAAGGGGAGGAGAGGGAAGAAGGAATTGCTGATGAGGAATAGAGGGAGGGTGAGGTTTGGAGGTTGAACTTGAAGATAAAGCTTGTCTCATGGAATGTAAGGGGCCTGAGAGATGAAAGGAGGAGAAGGGTTGTAAGGAATATTTCGAGAAAACAAAATCCAGATGTGGTGTGTTACAGGAAATGAAACTGGAGTCATTTGATATAAGAATGAAGGAGATATACTGATAAAAAAAAGAATGAAGAAGATATGGGGGTCTAAGGTTGGGGCGTGGGTGGAAGTGAATGCAGCGGGTCTCTTGGGAGAGTTGGTGGTCATCTGGGACCTAGGAGTCTTTGAAAAGGTTGGGGGGGAAGAAGGGGGTGTGATGCCTGTAGAAATATTTTCATCAAGGCCAAAAATAAAAGTAAGGAAGATAGCGAGGATGGTTTGGAGGTGCGTACCATTTGCAATTTTCTGGAATATATGGAAGGAAAGAAATAGAAGGATTTTTGAGGACAAGGATTGTAACCTCGAAAGGATGGTGGTGGCTGTTAGAAAATCTGTTGCAGATTGGGTCTTTGTATTACCAGAATCTAGATAAGTTCTGGTGAGAGAAAAACTTGGGGAAGTTTTGAGTTTTCAAATGGAAATTTGAAAGCTTCTATTGTATTTCTCACAAAAGTTGGGTGTTGCCTTAACAACTGGATATGATGCATCTTTTTTCTTTTCTTTAATGAAATTTTATTTTTATTTTACTATCAAAAAAGAAAAAAAAAAGAGACTGCAAGGGAAGAAGGGGATGATAAAGGACCTTGAAGAAAGAGCATAGGAGAAAGAGTCTGAGGGTGACATAGTCCAAATGGTACCATCAAGCTTGGAAGGGTCCAAGAACAACCTTCAAGAATTTTAATCAAACTAGTAAGTGTGTACGTCCTTTGCACATGGCAAGGGCAATTTTTGATGATGATAGAAAATAAAATGTTTCCAAAATTTTCTACATTTTTATATTTCTGTCTATAAAAATTATTTTTATTTGTCACACTTATTTTTGTATAATATGATGAATATACAATATTAGAGATGTGCCCAAATGTTTTCTACAATTTTGTATACTTTTTTTTGTTTTCATGTTTTTTAATTATTATTTAATTATGACATCAAGGATTTACACATTTGACCCAAAAGGTTGAATTGTTGATTCACAACCAAATAGGAAAACAATTCCATCTTTGTGTTGGTTTTAAATTTCTATTTTATTTCTATCATTAATAAAAACAATTATTCTTTATCACACTTATTTTTCGTTAATATAGTTAATTAATATAGGATTCAGTGAAAGAATGAGAGTTTTTTTTTTTTTGATAAATCCAGAAGGGGCTGCACAAGAACCGGGGGGGGGGGGTCCCCACACATTGCTAAAACAAATAAAAGAAAGAGACCAGGGAAGATCACAAAGGTTAAAGGAAACAAACCCGTTCACATCTGCTAAAGCTTCATGGGCAAGCCAGTCAGCAGCTTGGTTAGCCTCTCAAAACATATGCCTATACACTAGACCCTTCCTTAGTCTCAAAGGTGGGTCGAGAAGATGTTGCAGACAGGAGATCACCAACTTTGAATCGCCTTTGATAATAGCGGGATTGTCCTTGAAGTTTAAAGCCATGTTATGGGCTTTTCATGCCATCCATGCTTCTTCCATATTGATGGTTGTAGACCCTAGGTAGTAAGCTTTAAGATCCACTTCTCCAAGATGATTTCTTGCAATGCAGTCCACCGAGCAAAGCACATCCTCAATACACAAAGCATCAAAGTTTTATGGGGGTGCCACGAAATTAGGTTCCATTACTTGATGGAATTTCCTAATCCCTTACCAATAATAGAATTATGGTTTTCAAAATAGGACTCATTAGCCCTTTTTATAACCACTTGAGGGGGGTCAGACAAGCTATTGAAAGTCTTTTTATTTCTATTCTTCCAGAGATGCCATAGAATAAAAACACATTTTCCTTTATGTATTCTTCTCCTGAGATATCATTAATACAAATTTTGGACCACCAATCTTTTATAGAGGCATCCATGTCATTCAAACCCTCAATAGATGGAGAAAAATTCTGCCAAATTTGTCTAGCTATAGAACATCTCTTGAAAATATGATCCAAGTTCTCATCCTCCTCACAAAGGCTACAACAGCCATCAATATTAAACCCTCTACTTCTAAGCATGCTTTTCAATGGAAGTCTATTGTTAAGAAGCAAAAATAAGAAAATCTTCAATTTTGGAGGACAATTGATACTCCAAACCTTAGTATCCCAATTAAATCCATCCCTTGAGTTCATCTAACTACACTTTAAATTATAATGAGAGGGAATTGAATGAGAAGAAATGTAATAGTTCAAATTACATTTTGTGCCCTCACAATTATAGAGAGATCAAATTCAAAAAATAAGGGTAATCTAGTCAAGAATAGGATTCAATGAATTTTAATGGGAATTAATACCTTAAATATAAGACTTAATGAGAGAGATTTGAATGAGGAGAAAAGTGGTTGTTCAAATTACATTTTTATCCTTATAATTAAAGAGCAACCAAATTAAAAAAATTAGGGTATTTTAGTCAAACAAAAGTTCCACATTTCCATTCACACTTTTAATAGTAGTATAGATTGAGCGCATTAGGAAGTTAAGATTCCCTTATACCACAGTTGTCAAGGTGATGACTAGGTGACTAGGCAACAAGAATGACAACGCTGAAACCTTATTATAATATCATTCATATTGCTATATGTTTCTAATATGTATGCTAATATCTTAATACATTCTATTATATGCTATACATGCAATTTATATGTTGTTTTAAAGTTCTACTTTTCAAATTTAAAAGATTCAAGGGTTTTAAGAAGAGAAAAGGAAATCAAGAATAGAACTATAAAGCGGTTTCTCTTTTTGCTCTCTCTCTCTCCCCCCTATTAAATAAAGCAGCAGCCGAAGGGAAAGTTTGTTGTCTCTAGAAGTCGTATGGTTTGAAACAATCTCCTAGATCCTGGTTTGGTAGACAGGAGAAGGTGATCCAATTGCTATACTTGTTGTTTATGTGGGTGACATTGTTATTATAGGGAACTGGGAGGTAGAGATACAAAAGCTAAAGGAATTTCTTGGTGCTCAGTTTTAAGTGAAAGATCTAGGCCCCTTAAAGTATTTCCTTGGAATTGAAGTTGCAAGATTGGATAAAGGCATCTTTATGTCTCAGAGGAAGTACATCCTAGATCTTCTTCATGACACCGGTAAACCTGGAGCCAAACCAGCTAATACTCCAATTGATGTTGATCATAAACTTGGTGAAGAAAGTGGTGTTCCCCTCTCTGATGTGAGACAGTTTCAAAGACTTGTTGGGAGATTGTTATACTCGTCTATGTCTAGACCTGATATTGCCTATGCGGTGGGGGTGTTAAGCCAGTATATGCGTGCCCGTAAAACCACTCATCTTGTTGCAGCAAAGAGGATTCTTAAGTACCTGAAGAAGTTCCCTAAGGTATTCTCTTCTCCAAGCATGGTCATTTAAAAGTAGAGACTTTTACGGATGCCAATTAGGTTGATGATAGAAGATCTGCCGAAGGTTATTGTGCCTTTGTTGGAGGTAATTTGGTAACTTGGAGAAGTAAAACGCAAGCTGTGGTTGCGAGGTCCAGTGTGGAGGCTGAGTATAAAACCCTGGCACATGGCATAGTTGAAGTGTTAGGGTTTAAGAATATGTTAACGGAGCTGGGAATTGATGTTCAACATCCAATGTCAATGTATTGTGATAATAAGGCAGTGATTAATATTGCCCACAATCTTGTGATGCATGAGAGGACAAAACATATTGAAGTGGATACACATTTCATTCGTGAGAAAGTTGAAGGTGGTGAAGTCTGCATTCCATAGGTTAATTTTGGGTATCAGTTGGGTGATTTCTTCACCAAGGGTGTTGCTACTTACTAGTATCTGACATGTTGATATTGTACCAAGTTGGGAAAGATTGATATATACAGCCCGACTTGAGGGGGACTGTTGTTAGGACTGCTGTTAGGCTCTTATTAGACTTCTATTGTTATCTTTTCTTTGTTAAATTGTAACCAAGGGGTACTGTTGTAATGTTCTATTTTCTTTAGACACCCTAATATACAAGTCAATGAGGCAGCTGCCACTGACACTTTTCCAGAAAATATTCTTTCTTCTTCTCTGTTATTTCTCCTTCTCTCTTCCTCTCTTTACTTCTAGAGTATGCATGTATGCATGTGTATACATATGTAAGAGAACAATACCTGGAGAATGTCTGGGCCCAGGCCAGGTTTGGGCTACCTAAGGGCTAGGCCTAGACCTGGCCCAAAAAAAATATAAAAAAGCCCAAACTTTTGGGCCCAGGTCAAGCCTAATTTCTGAAAATCCAAGCTCAGCTCGTGTGTAATCGCTGGATAGGTTGGTCCGGGCTCAGGTTGGGCCCACTCAATGGTTCTTGTTATTATTTTCTTGTTTGCATTTTAATATTCTTTACTTCTCTTGTTGATTCTATAAGAAAATTTATGATCTTTTGAATTAATACTTGGTCTTATTAATGTTGACAGCGGAAGTATTTTTAGACACCCAACCATTAATACGTTCTATTCTTGATGGTTACAATGTATGCATTTTTGCATATGGTCAGACTGGTTCAGGAAAGACCTATACAATGGTATGCTTGCTGTATGGACTCTCCTTATACCTTCCTCCCTATGTGAACCACTTATTTTGTACATAGATATTACTTGTTTTGGTTCGATTTTATAAGCTATTTCATATTTATTGAGAAGTTCTAAATACCTTGTGAATTTAAGTATGTCTCTTCAACTAGACTGGCCCAGATGCAGCACGTAAGGAGGATTGGGGTGTCAACTACAGAGCTCTAAATGACCTTTTCGAAATCTCTCAAAGTAGGAAAAGTTCTGTTTCATATGAAGTTGGTGTTCAAATGGTTGAAATATATAATGAACAAGTGCGTGATTTACTTTCAAGTGATGGTTCTCAAAAAAGATATCCTTAATTTCTTGAGTTTGATTATTGTTCTTTTGTAATTGATAAATTTGGGGATTTAGATCAGACTGGATTCTTAGTTCTGTTGCACTGAATGAGCATTCAGTTTTTAGTGCTAGACAAATGATTTTTTTTTTGATAAGTAAAAAGAAATTTTATTAAAAAGAAAAAGCAAATACAACCTAGATAGGTGAGTAAACACCTCCAAACAAAGCTAAGGAACAACATACATCTAGAGCCCAACACCAAAGGCCCCCAAACATCTTACAAACCCAACCACCTCAAAGGAAAACATAAAAATCAAAACCCAGAACTCGAAACATCTTCTTGAACAAACAAGCTGAGCCTGGGAGCCATTGTAAAACAACCACTGACATCCATGCCTCACTCTCTCGCCTGTGTCATTACCAGCACCACACTTCACTCTTCATCAACGAGGTCTAACTCCTCTCCTTCACCTTCCTCCCATTTCTCACTCTCTTCCCCATTTGCGTTCCTCTTATTGCTCTCCTTCCTTCTATTCTGTTCTAATTGTTTGATTGCCTTCCTCACCACTGCTTCTCCCCTGAAAAAGGAAAATACCAAGAGATTTCCCAACTGCCACCTGTCTGTCTACTAGTTGATCAATGCCGACTTTTCCCTTCTCCAAGATATTTACCTTGGGGATTTCTTCAGCTTTATTCCATCCTATTTCCCTCTCCCTCTCACTACTCCCCCCTTTTTCATCACTTTTCTCCTTAACCTTCTTCCCGTTATCTCTCTCTTCCTCCAAGTTCTTCTCAGTAGACTTTTTCCTATTCTTTTCCTCCATCTCCCTTGTGAGAGCTTCCTCGTTTTGATTACTTAAGTTGATGTCCTGAGCCTTTTTGTCTGAGCTAGGAACTAAACCATCTGCATCACCTCTGTTTGTCAAACAGTTCTGAGTTCTAGATATGAACTTTGATCCTTTCCTTTTGTATTTTCTCTTAAATCTGCAACATGGCCCGTCCCCGACCAGTCCTTCCTTGAGATGATGAAAAACCTTGGTTACATGAATGAGCTGCCCATTGCTGGATCCTTTCTTTTTTCTCAACTCCCTTGCCTTGGGGTTCTCATGATTAGTCAACTTCGACACAGCTTCAAATCTCCTCCTACCTAAATCCCTCCCCTACTTTCCAATGAAGACTGATGATCTCAATCCTTCTTCTTTGCTCGTCACTCGTAACTCCCCCCAATTCCTGGACCAGTTCCCTACTACTAAAGTCACACAAGGGAACCTTACTTTTTGAGGTGGTAAGACTCACAAATGATAGTTAATCATTTGTGCCAGACAAATGGTTAACTATCATCCATCACAATTTTTCATTTATTTGTTTGTAGTTCATAACTATTCTGAAAATATAATGACATTTCTTTCCTTAGTCATGAAGCATGTCTTTTGTTTAAGAATGAAAAGAATAGTTGCATTTTCTCTAAAATAATGGTAGACATGGTCAAGTCCAAGAGTGTTCTTACTGTGGCCATGAAGGCCATATAGTTAACTTTTGCCATGCCTTGCATGACAACCTCTTGGGCCAATAATGCCTTGGTAGAGGATGGCACTTGAAAGAATGTTCCTACTGATGAATCACCTGCTATGGGAGTTGGTAAGGATAAGGAATTGGTTTCTTGCCTATTCTCTTTTAGGACTACTGCTACACTTGTTCATTCAGGTACAGCATGTCTTGCTTCCAGTTCAAAAACTACAGCCTAGGTAATTGATTAAGGAGCTTCAAATCGTATGACTGGAACTTCAGACTTGTTTGTGTCCCCCTTTTTCCACTTTTCAAACTGTAACCTTAGCTGATGGAACATCCTCATTTATTACGGGCATCGATAATGTGTCTCTTGGTTTTGACCTCCATTTAACTTCTGTGTTTTATGTACCTAAGTTTTCATTTAGTCTTTTGCATAGTTGTCAAGGTGCCACCTAGGTGACTAGGCGACTAAGCGCTTGCCTAGGTGACAAAAATGACAAGGTAGGCACCTTATCATAATATCATTTATATTGATGCATCTTATTAATATGTGTGTGAATACATTCTATTATATGCTATATATCATATCATACTTTTTTAAATGTTTTTCTATTGAAATTTAAAAGATCAAAGGGTTTTGAGGAGATAAAAAGAAAGAAAAAATAGAAGTATAGAGAGGTTTCTTTTTTTTTTCTCCTCTCCCTCCAATTAAATAAAACAACTGCATCTTTTTTTATTTTACTTTCCATCTTGAATTTTTATTATATAAAGTTAATAACCTTCTTTAGTTGCTAATTGATTTGAAATTGCTCTATTAAATACTTATTATAGTAGTATTAATTTTGAAATAATGAAGAGAATTGTTATTTTTTTCAATTAATATGCATGTTGAATGGTATACAAAACTAGGGAACTAGCCAATAGTTCTTTATATTATTAAATTCTTATTGCCTAGGTGTTGCCTAGGCGACTAGGTGCCCTAGTGTCACCTAGAATCACCTAAACACCTTGACAACTATGGTCTTTTGTGTATAAGTTGACTCAATGACTTAATTGTTCTATAATCTTTTATCCTTCTTATTGTGTTTTCTAAGATTTCATGATAGGGAAGATGATTGGCGAAGGTCGTGAAGTTGGATGACTATATTACCTGGATGACAATGATCCAAGAAGAGCTCTTCACTCATCTCTCACTCATTAGTGGTGTTGTCATTTGGGTCACCCATCCTTTCATACTTTGATGCAGTTGGTCCCTAGTCTAGAATCGGTTACTTAGTTGGAATGTGAGTCATGTCAGCTTAGTAGACATCACAAAATCCATTTTGTTCCCAGAAAAGATAAATGAGTCATGTGTCCTTTTGCAATTGTTCATTTAGATGTTTGGGGTCCCAATCGTGTTTGTGATACAATGGATTTAGATATTTTATAACTTTTATTGATGAGAAATGTTCTATAATTTAGTTTCTGTTTTGTTTATTAGGTGTTATTGGGCCTTTGACCCATGGGCTTAATGCTTTTAAATTGTGCTTTTAAGTGAATTTTTAGTATCTACCCTACTGAGGATATATTAGGCATTGTATCCCTTTCTATTCTTTTAATATAAAAGATACTGAGAGAGGCAGTCAGATCTTAATCGGCCTTCTCTTCCTTCTACTCCCAACTTCTTCTCTTTTCTACTTTCAAGAAACCTTCTTCTCTTTTCCTTAAATCTTTTTGGTTCTTTTATTTTCTACTTAGCATCAAAGCCATTCTTTAGAGATTCTTGGACTTGATCCATGCATCTCTAGAACAACCGACTGCATAGAGGAATAGGGAGCTGATCATTGGTTCAAGAAAGGTTCAGTTGTTGTATTTTTTTGGTGGATTTCAAACACTAGGTGAGTGATCATGGATTCATCATCAAAATCAAGAAGAACTAGAGAGAGAATAAGAGTCCTAATTGCAGTGGGTTCTTTGGATTTGACTTGGAGGCACTTTGGTTTTTTTGGATCTCTAGGAGAATTCTTTAAGGGGAACTCAGTTTCTATATGTTTTTGGGGCTCCTAGGGTGATCGCAACCTTTTCTCTTGCTTCTATTATTTTCTAGGAAGGAGAAATTTCTCTAGCTGAGTGTTTTGTGTTTGCAAGAGAGCTTTTGGGTTGCTTAGAAGAGATCAATCTGATCCCGGAGGTTTATTGTCTATTTTTTTTATTTATACTGAGTGGTTTAAGAAGCTATGGATGGTGGTGGAGTGAACAAAAATTGACTAGTGACCTTGGACTGGGTATGGGAGGTGCTAGTGACCCTTTGGGATCATGTACTATCACTACTGTTAAGTTAGATGATACAAACTATCTAGAATGGTCACAATTGGCCAAGATGGCAATTGGTGCATATGGAAAACTGGGATATATTATTGGTAATGAAAAGAAATTTGAAACAAATGTTCCCAATGGGTGCAAGAGAATTACATGGTGATGACTTGGCTATGTAATGCTATGCTTCCTCATATAAGCAAAAACTTTGTGGGAAAATACAACCAAGAAAATTTGGAATAGGCCTGCGAAGACTTACTCACAAAGTCAATATGTGTCTAGAGCCTACCAGCTAGGAAACCAAGTTATTAGCGCAAGATTGGGAGATAAGCCTCTTGTAGTATGTTTTTCTGTCTTAAAAACTTTATGGCAAGAGATAAACCATTTAGAGATTGTGGTTTGGGGGAGTACTAAGGATGTTGCTACCTATTAGAAATTGATAGAGAGGAACAAAGTGTTTGAGTTCCTGGTAGGCCTTAATCTTGAGTATGATATTGCACGACCACACATTCTTTCCCATGATAGTGTAAATTTCTCAAGCATATTCCTTTGGATTTTGAGAAGATGGTCGGAGGAACGTTATGATGAGAAATTCTAGTATTAAGCAATTGGCTAATGCTAGCACTATCAAACCTAAGCCTAGTGAGCGTAAGGGTGGTAATGAGAATAAAAGAGAGGATAAGAGGGATTTATTTTGTGATTATTGCAAAAAGCCTAAGCACAGCAGGGATACTTGTTGGAAGCTCAATCTTCATCTTATACCAACTTGACTCAAGAACAAGAAAGGGAATGCTAATATTGGCAGTGATTGGGATTCATTATGATCACTTATTCCAGCTTCCTTGATGTCTCTTGCAGAAGTGAAAGTTGGGCTGAATTTGGAAAGATGTAGCTAGTTCCAGTTCTTCATAAGGTGGACAATAGGGTGTAGATAGCTTGTGAACTGGTCATACCACTTCTTTTGCTCATACAAGTAATTCATATGCAACTACAGATTATGTTTCCACCTCAAGTAAGGAGGGACCTCCCTGGATTATAGACTTAGGAGCCTCTAAGCACATGACTAGTGTATCTACTTTATTTTCTTGATACCATTTGTGTTCTAGATTTCTAATAGAGATTGTGTCTGTATAGTAGATAGTTCCCATATCCCTATTGTTGGGAAAAGGTTAGTTAGAGTGACTAACATCCTTACCTTAACCTCTTTTCTACGTGTTCC